TCAGCTCTGGAGCAAGGGAAGAACTCATTCATTTGTATCAAGTGTGGTTGAATCCGACATCAGATGCTTGGGTTTTTTAAGCAGTGACAGGATATTACATTGGTTTTGTATCTCCTCCTGTCCCAGGGAGATAGTTCTTTCCTGTTAAGATACTCTCCTTGTCTACAGGGAAATTCAAGAATTGATGCGCAAACAAGCCATCGTAGAATTTCCTACCCATGCTCTTGTTTATGTCAGCAATCTCTTTTCAGTCCCCAAAAAAGGTGTGAGGCCAGTCATAAATGTAAAACAATTGAATTGATATGTGACATACCATCACTTCAAGATGGAAGGCGTACATTGTCTACTTGACTTACTCCAACCGTCGGATTGGATGGCCAAATTGGATTTACAGGATGCTTATATCATGATCCCTGTGGCAGAACAGCATCAAGATTTTTTTCCAATTCACGTGGCAAGGACAAAAATGGAGATTCTGGTGCATACCATTCAGTCTTTCATCTGCCCCGTGATGTTTAACCAAGATCATAAAACCCGTGGTGGCTCTCCTAAGTAGTCAAAGCATCTGTCTTATCATTTATCTGGATGATATCTTCATTCTTACTCAATCGTCAATCTTCTCCAAAAACACCTGTCATGGATGCTGACATTACTAAGAAATCTGTGTTTCCTTATTAGAATTGAGCGAACCCGAACTGAAAAGTTCGGGTTCGAACCGAACAATAGGTTTTTTTGGACCCCGGGCCCGAACACGGACATATCACTGTATGTTCGGGTTGGAATTCGGAGTTCGGCGATTTAATGGCGCGTTTTCAAAGGCAGCAGGGCAGTCAATCAACAAGCGTTTGACTTGTGTGCTCTTAGAAGCCATCACAGCCATGCCTACTAATGGCATGGCTGTGATTGGCCAGTGCAGCATGTGACCCAGCCTCCATATATAAGCTGGAGTCGCATAGCGCCGCACGTACATGCGGTCTTATTAGTGTAGGGAAAGGATGCTGCCACTGATAGGGACAGCTTAGGAAAGAATTCTGCAAACTAGTACATTGGTGGGATGGGGCGCACTTCATATCTGAGAGTCAAATAGAAGCTTCAAATACTGCTGTCACATTGCAGTTTTAAAACTTAAAATATTTTTGGTGTGAAATAGTACATTAGTGGGGTAGTACATTAGTGGGGTGCACTTCATATCTGAGAGTCAAATAGAATCATCAAATACTGCTGTCACATTGCAGTTTTAAAACTTAAAATATTTTTGGTGCTAAAAAGTACATTAGTGGGGTGCACTTCATATCTGAGAGTCAAATCGAAGCGTCTAATAGTGCGCTTACTGTGCAGTGGTAAACATTCTAATTGTTTTGCTGCTAAACTGCTAAATAGTATATTTTGGGGCCTGTTCTTCATATCTGAGAGTCAAATAGAAGCGTCAAATAGTGCGCTTACCGCGCACTTGTAAACATTCTAATTGTTTTGCTGCTAATCTGCAAAATAGTACATTTTGGGGCCTGTTCTTCATATCTGAGAGTCAAATTGAAGCGTCTAATAGTGTGCTTTCTGCGCACTTGTAAACATTCTAATTGTTTTGCTGCTAATCTGCTAAATAGTACATTTTGGGGCCTGTTCTTTATATCTGAGAGTCAAATTGAAGCGTCTAATAGTGTGCTTTCTGCGCACTTGTAAACATTCTAATTGTTTTGCTGCTAATCTGCTAAATAGTATATTTGCGGCCTGCTCTTCATATCTAAGAGTCAAATCGAAGCGTTTAATACTGCGCTTACTGCGCACTTGTAAACATTCTAATTGTTTTGCTGCTAATCTGCTAAATAGTACATTTTGGGGCCTGTTCTTCATATCTGAGAGTCAAATAGAACCGTCAAATATTGCGCTTACTGCGCACTTGTAAACATTCTAATTGTTTTGCTGCTAATCTGCTAAATAGTACATTTTGGGGCCTGCTCTTCATATCTGAGAGTCAAATAGAAGCGTCAAATAGTGCGCTTACTGCGCAGTGGTAAACATTCTAATTGTTTTGCTGCTAATCTGCTGCTTACATTGGAGTTTTAAAAAGTAAATTTTTTGCTGCTAAATAGAATATTTGTGGTGTTCACTTCATATCTGAGTGTCAAATCGAAGCGTAACTTTGATTTGAATTTACTACATCGGTCACTTGTAATATTGTTTCACACCTACAACACTTGTTACACAGAGCTAAGTGATAGAAGACAGATTGATATTTTCTACACTAGAAACTACCAGATAACAAGCTGCTATATTCAAACCAGTGATCAATAGCTAAGAGGTAGTTAAACAATATTGTAATTCTGGGGCAATACCCTCACAAGTCAAACTGAGAGGTCAGTTTATAGGGAAAACTGTTGCCTGGATACAATTCTAAAACAATTTCCATATGTCCTTTGCAGACTTTACATGCTGGAAAAACACAGGTGCCAACTGCTGTGGCTTTCTGCAGTGTGCATACCGGCAAGGAGGGCAGGGTTGAGGAGTGGGTGGAAGATGATGTGGAGGATGATGAGGTCCTAGACCCCACATGGAATCAAGGTCATGCGAGTGACGTGTGCAGTTTGGAGGAAGAGGCGCTGGTCGCACAGAGGCACCAGCACAGCATAAGAGGGAGCAGGGTGCAAAAGCGAAGCGGCCGTCCCCTAGCGCTCGTTGGCATGTATTAGCTCGAGAATTACCAGTTATCCAAATAATACATGTAGCGATCAAAGGATCCAATTTAGACTAGAGTGAACCCGAATTGCAAAGTTCGGGGTTTGTACCAGATTTAACGATCCATTCGTAGTTTCACAGTGAGGTAGGCAGTCCGGTGACCAGGACCCAGACACTGTCAGGATGTGACATTCACTGTAGCTGCTGTGCGCGCTTTTGGCGTTGTCACCCTGCTGCTGCTCACCTGTCTGCGCTGCAGCATAACTTCGGACTTCCTGCTTACCGCCTCGTGAGACTTTGCGAGCAGAAGCAGGCGATAGTGGAGTTTCAGCTGCAGCACGCACGGGTCAGTGGCTCTGCACCAGACTTCCTCCAATTGATCAGAGTCAGTGGCGTACATACCAGGGTCGCAGGGGTCGCGGCTGCGACCGGGCCCGGCCCACCAGGGGGCCCGGCCGCCCCTGCGACCCGGTATGTACACACAGGGCCAGCCTCTTCCCCTGGGGGGCCCAGGAGCCGGCCACCCCAGGGCCCCCCGAGGCTGGCCCTGCTGACACCGGGCGGGTGGCCGGTCATGCAGGCGCGCGCGCGAGGGAGCACTCAGTGCTTCCTCTTCAGCTCCCTCGCGCACCCCACTGATGCCGGAGCCGGAAGATGAGGTCATCTTCCGGCGCCGGCATCCCTACGCGGCGCGCGAGGGAGCTGAAGAGGAAGCACTGAGTGCTCCCTCGCGCGCCCGCCTGCCCGACCTGCCAGCCCGCCCACAGTGACCTGCTGCCCAGGGAATCCCCCCAGCACTCCAAAAGGTAAGGAGGCTGGGGGGATTAAATTTTAAACAAAAAACTAGTGTTAGTGTTTGAGTGTGTGTGAGTGTTAGAGTGAGTGTTAGAGTGAGTGTTAGTGTGAGTGTTAGTGTGAGTGTTAGAGTGAGTGTTAGAGTGAGTGTTAGTGTGTGTGAGTGTTAGTGTAAGTGTGTGTGTCTGCTAGTGAGTGTTAGTGTGTGTGAGTGTTAGTGTGTGTCTGCTAGTGAGTGTTAGTGTGTGTGAGTGTGAGTGTGTGTGTCTGCTAGTGAGTGTCAGTGAATGTGTTACTGTGTGTGTCTTACGGAGTGTGTGTTAGTGAGTCTGTTTGATGTCTGTTAGTGAGTGTGTGTTTTTCAATGAGAGTGTATGTTTTGTAAGTGAGTGTGTATGTATGTCTGTCGCTGACTGTGTATCTGTCAGTAAATGTGTGTGTCTGTTAGCTAGTGTGTATGCGTCTGTAAGTGTGTGTGTCTTCAGCACTTACCTTTCTCCAGCGCCGGACTCCCTTGGCGCTGGGGATCCCTCAGCCTCTCAGCTCCGAATGCGACCGCGCACGCATTCAAACCGCCCATAGGAAAGCATTACTCAATGCTTTCCTATGGACGTTCAGTGTGCTCCTCTAGCGGCTGTCAGTGAGACAGCCACTAGAGGCTGGATTAACCCCCAGTGAAACATAGCAGTTTCTGCTATGTTTTCAGCTGCAGGGTTAAAACCCGAGGGACCTGACACCCAGACAACTTCATTGAGCTGATGTGATCTGGGTGTCTGTAGTGGTCCTTTAAAGGACCACTCTAGTGCCAGGAAAACATACTCGTTTTCCTGGCACTATAGTGCCCTGAGGGTGCCCCCACCCTCAGGGGCCCCCTCCCGCCCAGCTCTGGAAAGGGGAAAAGGGGTAAAACTTACCTTTTTCCAGCGCTGGGCGGAGAGCTCTCCTCCTCCGATCCTCCTCTTCTCCTCCCCGTCGGCTGTATGCGCACGTGCTGCAAGAGCTGCGCGCGCATTCAGCCGGTCACATAGGAAAGCATTCATAATGCTTTCCTATGGACGCTGGCGTGCTCTCACTGTGAAAATCACAGTGAGAAGCACGCAAGCGCCTCTAGTGGCTGTCAATGAGACAGCCACTAGAGGAAATAGGGGAAGGCTTAACCCATTCATAAACATAGCAGTTTCTCTGAAACTGCTATGTTTATGAAAAAATGGGTTAACCCTAGCTGGACCTGGCACCCAGACCACTTCATTAAGCTGAAGTGGTCTGGGTGCCTAGAGTGGTCCTTTAAGTGTGTGTGCATCTGCATGCACTGGCGTACATACCGCGGTCGCAGGGGTCGCAGCCCTGTGACCAGGTGCCCACCGCCATGTGTTGCGGCCCGGCCCGCGCGGGGGGGGTGGAGGGGCCCACGGATCAATTTTCGCACCGGGGCCCCATGGGTCATGTGTACGCCACTGATCAGAGTTAAAGGATTTCAAGTGGACTCATTTCAATTACAGGGCCTCTAAAGAGTCCTGTATTGTTATTTGTCATCACTACCTTCCCGCGTCGGGAGTGGGTCATTTGCGCGCCTGCTGCCTTCCTTGCATGTGGTAGCCGTTTCTCAGGGTCCCTGTACGGAATGGAACCCTGATTCCCCATTACCCGTGGTCACCATGGTGGGCACAGAAACTGGCATCGAAAATCGATATGGATGACATCCGCATGCAAAGTCGCCGCCACGGGGATGTGCGATTTGCCCGAGGTTCTCTAGAGTCAACAAAGTTCCTGCGCAACTAAATGTCAACAGCTTCTCTGCGGAACAGAGTTGTCTTTTTTATATGGTTATAGGTTACCCCAATTAATATATATATATATATATATATATATAAAAACAGTGTTGGCTACCTCATCCTCCTCCTCCACCGCCACGGTCACCGCCTCCTCAACCTATGGGTCACTTAGTATAAACTAGGTACACATTAGCAGAGGCTTGTGAAGGCATTTTCTCCATGCATCAAGAGTTGAGCTCAGTTTAAACAATGAAAGAGAATACCCTGCACTCCAACCCTCTCTCAAATGGATAATTCTGGTGATCCTCCTTACAGCCATGCCTCAGATTTTGCTTTATGTTCTTCCAAAGCTAAAATCAAAGATTCCATCTAGTGCTGTTTTATGGCTCAGCTGTATTTTTAATTTTTATGTTATGTTATTGATTTCCCTATCCATATTTGTTTGCAGGGCACTTGTGGGGTAGTACATTAGTGGGGTGCACTTCATATCTGAGAGTCAAATAGAATCATCAAATACTGCTGTCACATTGCAGTTTTAAAACTTAAAATATTTTTGGTGCTAAAAAGTACATTAGTGGGGTGCACTTCATATCTGAGAGTCAAATCGAAGCGTCTAATAGTGCGCTTACTGTGCAGTGGTAAACATTCTAATTGTTTTGCTGCTAAACTGCTAAATAGTATATTTTGGGGCCTGTTCTTCATATCTGAGAGTCAAATAGAAGCGTCAAATAGTGCGCTTACCGCGCACTTGTAAACATTCTAATTGTTTTGCTGCTAATCTGCAAAATAGTACATTTTGGGGCCTGTTCTTCATATCTGAGAGTCAAATTGAAGCGTCTAATACCACCATTTTACTTGTTTTTGCAGCTCTCTAGCTCTTTCAAGGAGATTTTTAGAGGGATTTTTGTGGCCAAAAGTTCGGGTCCCCATTGACTTCAGTGACTTGGAAAAAAAAGTTCGGCCGAACCCGCCGGACCCGAACATCCAGTTGTCCGCTCAACTCTATTCCTTATCAATTTGGAAAAATCCATCCTGATACCTTCCCAATGTATAGAATTCTTGGGTCTCATTGTTGATTCCACTCTTCAGACTCTCCATCTTCTAACATCAAAGCTGCTAAATATCAGAAAAGAAATAAAATGCATATTGGCTGTCCCCCAACTTTCCCTCAAACACATAGCAAGAGTGACCAGACTCCTAACAGCTTCTATTTAAGCCATATTCCCAGGTCCTATTCATTACCGAGCTCTTCAATGACTGCATGTTTCTTACCTCAGAGGCGGAACATCATACGAAGACATGGTGACACTACACAAGGCTTCTTCACATGGAAGCTTGGAATGGATGCACTATATATGGGACGACCCCAGAACAGAATCAGACACAAGTTTATATGGTTGGGGTATGCATTGTGGAGATATCTCCACAGGGTGCATATGGTCAAATCTAGAATCAACACTGCACACCATTTACATATAACTTCTGTCTGTATCATTTGAAGTACAAAGCCTATCCCCAACTCAATCTAGATGCCCAATTATGTTGAAGATGGATAATGTTTCAGCGGTCAGATACATCAATCTTATTGGCATAAAGTCCAAAGTTCTGGCAAACATGGTATGTGTCTTTTGTAACTTTTGCCGCATGTACAGTATTTCAGTAACAGCAGAATATATTCTCTGCCTCTCCAAGACCACAGTGCATTGGTATTCACATCATCTCAAAACTTCAGTGACTGGCATCTGGACTCTTTGGTATTCAAGGAAATCAAGGACCTTTGGGAAAGATCTCTCTGCTTCACGACTGAATGCTTCACGGCTCTGGCTACGAACACATTTGCTGAAGAACTATGTCTAATGACCCCTCTATGGCAATTACAACCATGATTTCCAATCTCTTAGAGATGGCAATAGATTGTTTTATGTAAATATTCGTACTTCATAACAATTTATCTTTGCTATAAATATGATTTACTTATTTTCTTCCTTATTAACCCCATCTTCTCTTTTCCACTCACCTTTCTGTTTACTCTCCATAGTCATACCATCATTCATGGACAGGGGAACTGCTTCTTTACAATGGACGTTCTTATAGTGCGTTTAATCTTTCTACTCTCTAATTGTATATGTACATACAAGAGCGGAACTTTAGCATAAGTTCCGCCAATGCGACCGGCAGTAAATGATTCTTTGAACAGGGGCATAATATATTTCAAATTAACCTCCACCGCCCCCCCTTTTTCCCTATGAATCTTACTTTTAAACGATGGGAATACTAAGTGCACATTCCACAACGTAGAGATCATATACGGAGACATTACCCTCCAACTACCCTACTATTTTATAAGAACAATATTTAAATACCTTGACCCACTTTCAGGCAGATTGTTATCTGGCTACAACCACTTATGTGGTTGTTCAATTGTCATCTCATAATTCTTCCTTACATATATGGATAGCACTTACACCTATACACATGCAAAAACATATGCATTACTTTATATTTATGCCTACGATATTTTGAGCGGGCTACATGCACATAAACATTACAACATCCTTGTGTCCTGCCTATTGGCTATGCACATACATGAGTGCAATTTTAACACAAGTCCCGCTTATGTGACTGGCAAAAATTTATTTTTTGAATAGGGGTGAAATATATTCCACTTGATAACTTGATAAGTAGAGCTTATTCTGAAATAGAGAATAGTTACAACTTAGTGGAAATATTATGACCATTTTTACTCTCCACTTTATTCTAGTCTCCACTCTCGACATTCTATTTGGACATATTAGCGGTTACCCCTCCCCCCTTTTTTTCTTCTTTGAATCTTACTTTGCATCAACCATTATTCCCAAACGATGGGAATATTAAGTACACAATTTAGAGATAATATACAGAGACATCATCCTCCTATTACGGTATATGAATTATCTTTAAATATTCTGTCCTAGTCTTGGGTATATTCTGATCTGGTTACAACCACCTCTGTGGCTGTTCCATTGCCATGTCGTAAACACCTGATGAAGGTAGAACTGAAATAGATAAATCAAAAGAAGTAACAATAAAAACGTACGGTAAAAATGAAAATAATAATAATATTTTATTTTTATTTTCATTTTTACCGTATGTTTTTATTGTTACATTTTATATATTTTTATCAAGGTGCGCCCTACTTCTTTTGATTTATCTATTTCTGTTCTAGCTTTAAGGGATAGAAGGGTTACCCCCTTTAGGTGTGCTGCCTTTTTATAATTTATAATTTATACACCTTCTGTGGCATTATCAGCGCTGATCCTACCTTGATCCTTTTTTACCTCATGAAGGTGCACATGTTTTGCACCGAAACGCGCGTCAGGCAATTTGGAGTTTTTAAATGGGCACTTGATAGGACGTTTTTTACACTTGGCCTATTGGCTCTCAAAATGGTTATTATTTAATTATACTCTTTTCTTTCCTCTAGCTATCTAGTCAGATTAAAAGGGAGAGAGACTTTTTCGATCTATCTACCTTTTATACAAAGAGGATTCTGTGATTAATGTATTAATGCAAATTAAGTGGATTCTTGTTACCTTGTAATACATTTGGATATCCATTGACCTTAGAGAGGTTACAGTCTATTACATACCTTTAGGATATTTAGATCATATTTAAAGTCCTCTAGCTACCTTCGGTACTTAGGGATTTCTAACAGGTATTGGAGAATTGTGTGAGCACATCTAAGTATCTATAATCCCATTTCTTCCTTTATTATAACTTCAGCTTTTGGCAATACTCAATAAAGCCTAATAGTGGACGTGGTTCTAATTTAATTTGACCAAGGTTTGGACTTGATTCTATCAATAGGTGGAGGTTTAGCCTTATCAGGCTTGTAATTATTATTATTTGACCGTAGTTTATCTTGCTATATAGCATTTGTTACGTTTATTTCTACAAGGATACTGTTACTATTCCAAGAGACACTTAATTTTAGTAAGTTCTGAGAGGAATTGTCATTTTGTTTCATCTGGGCAATAGATTAACTCCTTCTATGGTTCATGGATTGGCTGAATTCAGGGGACCTTGGTCCATCCCTGGAGGTTTGCAATCAACTCTCAGCATAG